GGCCAAAAAAAAAAAAAAAAGGTTAAGTTTAAATGTTTAGATATATACAAATTCATTATCATCAAAAATTCTTTTTTTCTCTTTTTCTTTTTTTAAACGTGACAATTTTTTTTGTTAATATTTTTACACTAACCATGGTAACCATATTTTAAATGGGAATGCTATAATAAAAAAGAAAAATACAAAATTTAATATTTAATGAAAAATTAATTTACATTTTTTATATACATATAAATAAATTGAATATTTCAACGCAAAAATGTTATTTTTTTTATCATACAGTTATTTCGTATATACAACTTAAATAATAATTTAAAAGAAACAAATATATTGTAAAGATTTCATTTCAGAGTAATACAAGGAGAGTACGTAATCAAATTGTACACAAATTGAACACATATTATTCACATGTAATATTTTGTATATTATAATATATATATATATAGAGAGAGAGAGAGAGAGGATCATTTTCATTAAACTTTTTTAGACATGCTTTACTTATAAAATAATTTAGAAAAAATTTAGTGACCTCATATGTTTTTAAGAATAATATAGAATTTTTTAGATAATCTTACATATGTTATATAACAGTTTAGGTGTTTTAATATTTTAAACATACATGTTTAATGTTATTTTAAACAAGATAAAAAAGTATAAAAATATTCGTGAATATTATTTAGCTAATCAAGTATAACGGATATTAAAATGATAAACTAACAACTCATTTGCGAACTGCAGACAAATTATCATATTATAAAAAGATCCATATTATGGATAAAAAGATTCATATTAGGGTTCCATTTAAACTCCAGCAGCACCAGTTCCTTCTGATCATAAGGTTCCATTATGAGTTAGAGTCAGTCTATCTTGTTTTGGCATGTTTTTAAAAAATCAGTTTTTAGTCACGACCAATTATATGTTGTTGTTTCGCGTGTAAATAATAGATAAAGAAGAGTCAGGGTCATCTTTACCATGCGTTGGCAATTTCTTGAATAAATCATGTTTAGTCACGACCAATTATATATTGTTTCGTTTGTAAATAATAGAAAAGAGTTAGAATTAGGGTTTGTGAGGACGACGCGTTGCCCAATTATCAAACCTGAAATTTTTAATAATATATTATTTTTTCACGTGCAAGATTTTATTATTGACAGTTTTCGTACAAATTAACACTATTTTAATTATTAATACACTTTAATGCAAGTGTAAGCGTCCGGGTCCGGTTTGGAGTAGATCGATTCTTGTCCTTGCCGGTAGAACGCCGAGAACCTGCAAATAACTCTCACACCGGGGGTTTGGTCCGGTGAAGAGCCTCCGATGCTTAAGTC